GGGGGATCATACTTTTTATTGGTTATTGTCATATGAATGTATTGACGAATTTTTGGTAAAGGATTCGCTAAATATTATTTATTGACCAGCTAATATCAAAATTTAGCCTGAGTGCATTTATAGCTTAAAGTATAAATTTCTATATTTCTAGAAATATCATAATATTTTCCAGCAATTATCGCTCGACCCTCATTATTACAATCCATACGACCACGAAAAAATATTTTTTACCACGCTATCATTCAAATAAATTTTAATCCATTTTTAATCGATATTCAATAGTTGCAATTTTGTTGTTCATTGAAACCTCATAAAATGCCAATATATGCATATTCGTGCATACGCATGCATATGTTTTTCTATATGCTTATTTTAAATTTATTAATGATATAAAATTATCGACATATTGTGTGAATTTAATAAAAATTAATTTTGTGACTGCATAAAACTGCGCGATAAAATATGGTGGACAAAGGTAAGAGAGAGTGAGAGAGAGAGGGAGAAAACTACTTAAAAGAGGATGAGCTGGCAAAATAAATAACCGTTGGGCAATGGCCATTATGCATTGCATATTTTTAGGCATTTTTAATACTTATTAAACAAGTCATATTATTTGCATTACATTTTCATTTTCCATACCGCCATAGCCTGAATCCATCCAGCTTTTGAATTGAATATCCACAGAACTCGAAACAACAACAGCGGTAGCAACAACAACATCATCATCATCGGCAGCATCGCCGGCATTGTCATTAAACACGAAAAGCGATTAATATTTATATATTTTTATGTTTAAATAATAATGTCCATCCATCCATTGGCATATATTGAGTTAATTAAGTTGTATATATGAAATGAGGGATTTTGTTTGTTTGTTTAAACAATAAATGTCGGATGCTTCTCTTTCTCTCGCTGTGTGTATCTCTGCTTTGCAAGGATATGCATATATTCCTCATTTTTTTGTTGTTGCTGCTGGTGTTGTTGTTGCTGTTGTTTATTTGTGTGTGTGTATATTTTCAAGCGGGTAAATCATGGAAGGAAATTGTCAACAACATGTGATAATTGAGTGTAATTATTGGTGTAAATAGTTAATGAAAATGTTTGCACAAAGGAAGTAAATTTTAATATGTTTCTTTTTTCTGTGTTTTTGGTAGTTGTGGTGGCGGTGATGGTGAGTCGAAAAGGTGCGACGAATAAACGAAAAATTGCGAATTTATGAAGAGGCACTCCAACTGGATAATTCAATGATAATGAAGAACGTTGCGGAATATACAAACAGATAAATTGAACAAGTAATAGCTGCCTTTAGTTTGAGCTGGTCAAAGTCTTTGCTATCCTCAATAACGAGAAAGCTCATGTAGCCTAATCGGCTGACTTCAAAATACCTACAATTCGAAACTATATATCATTGCGAGATAGTTTTAAAGGGCACCCTATTACCAAATTTCTGAAAATACAATCGGCTGACTTCAAAATACCTACAATTCGAAACTATATATCATTGCGAGATAGTTTTAAAGGGCACCCTATTACCAAATTTTTACAGCCCCTCCTTCAAGAGGAAAATGTGGCTAGAGCCCCAATATCTAACGTCATTTGAGGGCTATTCCAAGATCAGGACTTATAGTTAGATTTTTTTGCAGGTTGGTTTACATCCTGCTAGATACTTATATAAAAATATTTTTTCATATTTATTTATATATATAAAAGAGTTGTGAAGTAAGTGGCCGGGATTTTGGAAATTTACGAAAAGTACTAAAATGTTCTGAAAATTCAATACATTGTATTGGGCAAATGGAAAGCTAGAGTTCTGAAATTTGGAATAATAGACCCTGATGGAGTGGCGGATAAATGTATGAAAAGAATTTTTATAAATTCGAACTTTAAGGTTGCGAAAAGTTCTAAAATTGTACTTAATTCTAAAATGGTACCATTTGGTATTATGTGAACGGAGAGAGCTCAAATCTTGAAATTTGGTACGAGAATTAAGGTTGGAGGTTTGTGATATTGAGGTGATTTTGGAAATGTGTACTAAAAATGCACGAAAAGTACCAAATAGTGCTATATTAGGTATAATTTGATATTTGGTGAACAGATAGTGCTTGAAATCTAAAATTTCGTATAAGGGTTGCTGTTCATGTGTAGCCTGGTCATATGAAGGTGGTTTTGAAAATGTGTACTATAATGCACGAAAAGTACTAAATAGTACTATATTTGATACAATTTAATATTGGCTGAACAAATAGTTTTGAAATCTGAAATTTAGTATTAGGGTCGCCATTCATATTCTGAATTTGATATTTAGATTACATATGGAGGAAATTTCGGAAATGTGTACCAAAATTGTAAAAAAAATACTAATTGGTTCTAAAATTGGTACTGTGTGATTGGATAGGGCTGAAATCTCCAAATTTGATATTAAGGTCTTTGTTGGTGTCTCGACAACAGATAGTTCTTGAAATCTGAAATTTTGTATTAGGGTCGGTGTTCATGTGTAGCCTGGTCATATGAAGGTGGTTTTGAAAATTTGTACTATAATTGTACGAAAAGTACTAAATGGTACTAAAATTAGATTGTAGGATTTAGCTGGGCTGCAATCCCGAAAACTATTTTAAGGTCTCTGTTGGTGTCTGGACAACGAAATTTGGTATTGGGGTCGGTGTTCATGTGTAACCTGGACATATGGAGGTGGTTTCGAGAATGTGTACTATAATTGTACGAAAAGTACTTTATGGTACTATATTCGGTATTGTGTGAAGGGATAGAGATAAAATTCTGAAATTTGATGTTTCTTTTACTGATGTTCGAGATTTGACAGTGGTTTGTAAATTTGTTCAATATTTGTGCGAAAAGTACTAAATAGTACTAAATTTACTATTGGGTGATGGGTTAGGGCTGGGTTCCTCAAATTTGATACTAAGGTCTCTGTTGCTATCTGGAATTGAGATATATAGGTGGTTTGAAAATGGGTCCTATATTTGTACGAAAAGTACTAAATGGTACTAAATTTTTGTATTGGTGGAAGAGGTGGGGCTGGAATCCTCAAATTTGGTACTAAGTCTCTGTTGGTATCTAGAATTGAGATATGGAGGTGGTCTAAAAATGGGTCCTATATTATTCTATGTTGGGTATTGGGTGAAGGGATAGGGCTGCCATCCTTAAATTAGATATTAAGGTCTCTGTTGGTATCTGGAATTTAGATATGGATGTGGTTTTTGAAAAATATTAAAAGCAAAGACTCAATAAATTTGAATTAAATTTGTATCTGGAATTGAGATATGGAGTTGGTTTGAGAATGGGTCCTATATTATTACGAAAAGTACTAAATGGTACTAATTTTGGTATTGGGTGAAGGGACACGGCTGGGATCCTTAAATTTGATACTAAGGTAATTTGATATAAGGTGGTTTGAAAATGGGTCCCATATTATTATAAAAAAAAAAAAAAATACTGAATAGCACTTAATTTGGCATTAAGTGATGGGATAGGGCTGGGATCCTCAGATTTGATATTAAGGTCTCTGTTGGTATCTAGAATTGATATGTGGAGGTGGTTTGAAAATGTTTCCTATTATAATTACAAAAAGTACTAAATAGTACTAAATTTTGGCATTGGGGGGAAGAGATGGGGATGAGATCCTCAAATTTGATACTAAGGTCTCTGTTGATATTGAGATATAGAGGTGGTTTGACAATGGATCTCATATTATTACGAAAACCACTAATTAGTCCGAAATGTTGTTACTGGGATCCTCAAGTTTGTTACTGAGGTCTCTGTTGGTATCTAGAATTGAGAAATGGATGTGGTTTGGAAATGATAGTACACATTTCGGAAAGTAATAAACAGTACTAAATCTTGGTATTGGGTGAAGGAATAGACCTGAAATACAGGAATTTTATATTGAGGTTATCGTTGGTTCCTAGGGCTGAAGACGTTGAAGTAGTTTTGAACAGAAAAATTGGATGTGGTTCCAGTTTGCAATGGTTTTACATATCCTCCTTGATAAACTTAAAAGTGAAAGTTCGGAACACTTTTTTTTAATAAGGACTCTCCGATCTATAATCGGACTTTTTAAATATTTCTTAAAAACTTCCGAAATTCATTTTAAAAATGTTGCCTCTATTTCGAGCTATGAGTTGGCCTTTTAAATATTTTTCACATTTATGATTAATTTAAAGCTTTATTCAATAAATCAGATTGATTATTTCATTATATTCAAACCTATTACATTTCACAGAATTATTATTATTTTTTCCTTTAACTAAAAATTATATATCTATGTGCTTGTGTATTTTAAAATACCATAAATTTTGCATTAAAAACAAATTCATAACTATAAAAATTGTCTATAACATATTGGCTTATAATAATACTAATAATCCCTTTAGTTATTTTGAAAACGAAAACAACACAGAAAAAATGGTGTGAAACGGAAGTGTGAAATAATAGCGTGGGGCGGGCTAACGGAAATGGTTTAAGCTAACATTTCCGGTGAGCAGAAATGAAAACAAATATTGCTCTTGTTTAAACAAAATGTTTTAGCCTGCAGGGAGGAGATAGATATAACAAAAAGCTAGGCGGCGAATAAAATCAAAAACAACTACAAACATTTATAGAGAGAGAGATAGAGAGAGAGCAAAAAATGCATTTAGCCAAAAAAAAGTAAAACATAACAATATTTGCGTACGTTTTTTTTCAACTTTGCTTTTGGTGTAGAGTTGTGGTGTTATGATGTGCTTTTTTTTAAATATTTTCTTTTGCAAAAAGGTTAGAAGTAAAAAATAAAAACCAAAAAGGATAAAATAAAAAAAACTAACTAAACAAAAAACGGAAAACGAAAATGAAACTTAAAAAAATATTAAGCGTTTTTGGTTATCATAGAGAGAGAATATAGTTGTAGAAAGAAAACGAAAATAAAATAAAAAGGAAAACAAAAATAAAAACAAAAAATGTTTGTTTTTAAAGTTTTTTTTTTTTTAGAAAACAATTTTTTGGCATACCGCAGCGGCTGCAGCAACAGCGGTGGCGCGTGAATGCGCCGCTTTTAATTGTGCCTGTAGGTGCAAGGGGGGATGAAAATAGCGGCAGGGATCACGTGTGCATCTACCTTTTACGGCGTCCATGCACACCGTAATGGAACCATCATCGTGTCGGGCCACAGTGTCCTGCGGATGTGCAAAACGGCATTCAGACTCGGCACGTTTGCAAGCACCGCGCGTAAACTCACGGCAAACCTATTAATGGTTGGTTGGATTTTTGTTTTGATTTTTGGTAGATTTTTTTTCGTTTTTTGGTAAGGATTGCATTTGGCATTTGTTGAGTTTGTTTTTGGTTTTGCGGTTTTTGGTTTTTCATAAAAGACATAAAGAGGCAGCAGCATCAGCAGTGTTTGATTTTTTTTTGGTTTGGTATAGTTGGTTGGTTGGTTGGTAGTTGTAGTAATAGTAGTTGGTTGTTTTGGTTGGTGTAATATATATATAGTTGTTGTTTTTTGATTTGTTTTTTTGAGTTCACATGGACGCGCAGGATATCAGTAATGCAACAACATAAGGAACATATTCAAGTAAACAATTTGTTTTTAATTTGTTGATTTTTGGATAGATTTTTTCCAAAAAATAAAAAAAATGTGAAAAAAAGAAAAATTTTTGTTTAATAATTTGTATAAGGATTTTGATGATTAAACTTGATTGCATTAAAAACAACAAACGAGTGGTTATTTTGTCAGATTTTTGGGCTGTCAGTTTGAACAACACTCAAAATTTCTGGTTAGGTTTTCGTTTTTTTGCAAAACTTTTGCATGCTGCCAATGAGGTTGGGCGTAACGATTTGTTAGAATTTTAGCATTTAGTCTCTTTTTTGTTGGTTTCGAATTATGGCCAAAGTTTCGACGAGTAACGCTGAGTTGGGGTCAGTTTATTAGTGCTTCGAAAACATATAAAAACAACAACAATAAACATAACAAAAAAAAAAAAAAATAAAAAAAAAAACCAAAATAAAAAAATAATATATTTTAAAGGAATTTCTCGGGAATTTACTGTTAAAGATTAGAAAAACAAAAACGCTTAATTATTTTTTTTCGTATTCAACAAAATATTGAGAGAAACAAATACATTCACAATTAGAAAAAGAAAAATTATATTTTCCAATTTATATTCGAATTGCAAAAATGAGGAGTCTGGTTGGAATAAACAGTGTCGTAGTAAATGTTGTAACAGGAGACAGATATATATTGAGAGAGAGATAGACAATATAAATCATGGCTTGTTGGGGTCTGAACTTAAAATGACAATGGATTTTGTTTAGGATTTCTCTAAACTAAAGAAATACAAAAGTTTATTTTTTAGTATTCTAAGGCTAGTATGGATACTAAGGATACTTTTGTGCACACACAAAAGTAAAAACAATTCAGAGTTTTAAAAAATATTTTGAAGATAAAGTCGAGAGCGTATAATACATTTTTGATAATATGACATTTTAGACTAAATTCTTAAAAAATTAAAACAAAAACAATTGTAATTTTCGTTACGTTTCGCTAAAAAATGCCCTTAATTTTAAAATATTTTTCAAAGTCACTTTCAGGTCTGATTTTTAAATTTAAAAAAAATATATGTATTTTATTAAGAATTATTATGATTTTCTCAACTTATATCAAATTCAATTTCCTCAATGTATATCAAATTTATGAAGAAGCATTTTTTTAAAAATATGTTTTCAAAAATTGTGTTGGTTTTGTTTATTTTTTTTTACAGATTTTCAGATTTGCAGCCTTTAAATTTTATTTAATATATTTTTTGTTTTTTTTTAAAGACTTTTTAAAGACTTTTAGAGCTATAGAATTGTATAAACATATTTCTTAAAGGGACTTTTATAGATTTAATCCTGCCGTTCATCTTCTTTTTAAATATATTGCTTCGATTTCAAAGCTTTAGGTTTTGATTTTTTTAATTATTTAAAAATGTCAATATTGCTGTGTAAAATATTACTCACTGTAACAGAGAGTAATATGAAGCTGAACCAGTAAGGGAATAATCTAGACGTAAGAAATAACTTTTCAACAATATTGGTGATTTGTTCTAATAATTTTTTTAAGGACTTCCGGATCTAAAAACTATGAATTTTATTGACGGACTTTTTAAGGATAAAAGACTTCCTAAAAACTCTGGATCTATGATCCAAGATGTTCTACAATATTTTGTCCTAGGCTTTGAAGATATTTGATAGCTACAATCGTGGCATTCAAATACTCAAATTTTTGTAAAATATATATTTTTTCAAGAATTCTCATGATTTTCTCAAAATATTTCTTCAATAACATTCAAAGATTATTTTCTAAAAATTGTTTTTAAATCAATTTTCAGATTTTCTAAATATTTCCTCAAATATTGTAATATTTTTTTTCAAGACCATAAAATTTTAAACCAATGGCTTTTTGAAAATTCCCAACTATTTTCATCAATTTTTCAATATATTTTCTAAAGGACTTTCGGAGGTGTGATAAAGGATTTTTAAACTGTCTGTGTTCATGGATATTCAGGACTTTTAAAGGGCCAATCATGAATGTTTTAATGAAAATTTGGATCTAACGGAAAAGTTTGGAATCATAATCGAAAACTTGTTTTTATGGAAATGTTTTCCAACATTCAAAACATTTTTTTCAAGGACTGTAAACGAAGGCTTTAAAAATATATTACCATGGACAGTGTAGTTTCTGAGTTTTTAGAATTTGTATATCTTCAGCCATGTGGCTATAGAGGATATATATTATTTGAAATAAAAGTTTTAGCCTAAAGAGCAGCTAAGTCGAGAGCGAAATGGAAAAATTTCGGCCTTCTCGTTCAGGTATCTCTCACACAAAGGGTCAAAATTTTGAATAATTATAACTCTTATAAAAAGTGAAGTGAGAGTCCGATTGTCTTCAAATTTCGCACACCTCAATATTTCTACTAACACAACATCTGGCATGAAGAACGGGTACAACGGACCAATCCTAAGGGTACCGACCCAACACAGGGGTCAACATTTTGTATAACCATGAAACTCATAAAATGCGAAATAAGCTTCAGATTTCCTTCAAATATGGCAGATCCCATAATTTCTATTAACACAACATCATGTGTGTATATGGAATATATAGGACGGACCCTTCTGGTACTTTTTCCGCAACGGGTCAACATTTTGAAAAAAAATATATCTCTCATAAGATACGAAATAAGCATCCGATTCTCTTCCAATGTCACACATTATAATATTTTTATTTACACGGGATTTGGTGTGAAGATCATTGATAGATATCCACCTCCTTTCTTTAATTTAAAATTTTGATTCCTATGTACTTTCTGCTACATATCCAAATTTCTCACCCCAACTCTAACTAAGGTGTACATTCTACATGTTGAGCATGAGACCAACTTTTTGAGGTGTTGCAAACTCTTTTGGCCCAATCAGACTCATAATGCACTAAATACGTAGTGTTGGAGATCATAACTAATATTTTGTAGTTGGTCATTCCCTATCACCAATTCAAAAAAAAAAAAAAAAAAAAATAAATAATAAAACTTCAAAGTTTCAAAACAAAGCACTCTCTAGAAATTTTCAAAATATGAAGAACTCTTAAAAGACCTTTCCCCTAATTTAAAAAGTCTTTTAGAAAAGAACACGTAATTGTTTTTTTTTTTTTTTTTTTTTTTGTAAACTATGGCCTCTTGGAAGAATTATAAACGAATATTATATATATTATATTTGGTGTTTTTATAGAGGAACATCTCTTTGGATGCCTTCTCTAAAGGGTGACCTCTTAGGAGATTTTCAGTAGACAAATATAGATCTAGAAGTGTGAAGGGAATCTCTTTGAAGGTCTTCTATAAACAAAGCCATCATAGGATTTACAAAGAATATATTTATTCCATAGGGAAAGACTTTTTAAAGGTCTTCAAAAGATTTAGATCTCTATGACAGTCTTTTATGGACGAAAACTTCTTTGGAGGTCTTCCACATACAATGTCCTCTATAAGATAAAAATTTATATTTTAGTTCACGTTTTGACTAGCACTGAGTACTTTATGTAGCATTTAGATCGAATTGCAAAAAAAAGTGACAGTATCTTCCTTCTACACACCACCAATAACCCTCACAGCAAAATTCCGAATTTATGTGTTTTCCAGTTCATTAAATATCATGACTTAGTACTTTGGGTAACTACTTTGTTCGATTTTTTTTTTGTTAAATTTTCTCAAGGACTTTTCAATTTTTTTAAATTTGTTTTTAAAAAGTTTGAAAAATAACCCATTATTTTGATATTTTGTCTAAAAGGCTTTGAATTTTTCTAAGAATTTCCTTTAAATGTGTGAATATATTTTTTTTTAAAAATTTCAGGGTTGCAATTGTCTGTGTAAGCTATATGGCAAATGGCAAAATTTTTGTGTGTGCAACACCAATCTATAATAATTTTATAAATGATTTACTTTATATTTAATCTAAAAATTGTACATTTTTTTGACTACAGTTCTTTTCTAATTTACAACTGATTTTGAAACCAAAACTTATTTACCAAGGTTTCTATATAAAATAAAGGGTATCTATATTTATTACACAAAATCCAATGTTTAAAGTAGTGTGTGTTGAAGTGTATTTCTCCCAGAAAGCTCAAGAGAGAGAGAGAGGGGGGGAGGCAAGTGGTTTTGTCGTTTTCTTTGTATTGTCGGAATATGTTTCTTAAGGTATTTCTTTTTTTATATAGCAAAAGCTTTGCAAAGGTTCATCCAATTTGGGGGGAAACTCAAAAGGAAAATTATAACGAATTGTGAACTGAATACAAAAGCTTAAGACGGAAAGCTGCTGGAAAAATCAAAAATAATGAATAAAAAAACACACCAGGGAAACAAAACTGAGTAGTTGTAGGAAAACAAGAGCTGAAAATCCCAATTTTGTGTAAAAAAAAATAAAAAATATTTATGAAATGATTAACATTGAAGGATAGTTCCCTGAGAAAAAACTGAGTCTTAATATTTTTTTCCAAAATTAAAAACCATATGAATGTGTGAAAACACAATTCAAAACTTTCTTTAGTCAAAAATAAAAAAAAAGGTTTTTCGTATAAAAGCTTAACTTTTGTTATTTTGTTTTTAGTTAAAAAAAATTAAAATAAAAAATAATAAAATAAAAATAAATACGTCTATACATTTTCAAAAAATAATTTTATTAATATAAAAAAATAATAAAAACATAAAATAAACTCAAAATTTGTTTCTGTACAAAAAACATGCTTTCCGTTAAATATTTGTTTTTTTTTTTCATAAAATATTTTGTTATATTAAAAATACTATTAATAAATTAACTCATATAGAAAAATAAACATAATCAAACGTTCTTTTTAGAAACAAAACTCAAAGTTAGTGTGTGTTTTGAAACTTAGCATGCAAATTCAATATCAACATACCTCTAATCTGTCGGAACGTGGTATTTTCTGTTGTGCCACTTGCACCGCTTGCGGTACAACGGGTCCCAGTTGTGATGCAACGGCCGATGGATCGGGTCCCAATAAGGCAGGCACTAAATGACCAGGTGCAAAATATGGACTGTATGTGTTAGCAGGTATGCCAGTCAAATAAGGATTTGTTGCCTGAAAGTTAAAAAAGAAAAATTATTATTTCAAATAAATTATTGTGAATATACATACAAGAAAATATATAGTTTTTTTTTTTTTGATCTAACTCGTAAAGAATGGACAAAAGTCGGGAGGACCCTACACCACTGTGAGCTACCCATCACAAATAAAATTTTTTTTATCGAAAATTTATGTTGAGTAGATTATACCGAATATGAACTTTTCTTGAATGCGTATTATAGCTTTGGAGCAGTTGTTATTTGGAATCCGAGAGGACTTATATAAAAGAGATATGTGAGAAATTTGAAAAAATCCATCCTACATGAGCCAAAAGAACTGCAACAAAGTCAAAAGTATTAATTTTTACATTTATTATTTTTTTTAATTTTATTGAATGGAAGCAAAAATGTCGGAAATAGCATTAAATTTTAGAATAAGTTTAGATTTATTAAAATTGGTCACCTTTCGTGCGAATTATGGCCTTCAAACGGGCAATGAAACCGTCACACACTCCCGAATGTTGCTCGGCGGTATGTTGGTGAGGTGATCGAAACTTTGGTATTTTTTGATGCCAACCTTGCTTTGCAAAATACTCCAGACACAATAGTCCAACGAATTGTGCGCTGGAAATGAAGCGAGGAACCTCATTTTGTAACCACTCTTTGGTGGCGCGTGCTAAGTGCGATGGTGCTGAGTCCTGTTGGAATGTCCGAGGTCTGCGGCTAAAATGTTTGTGCGCCCAAGGCTTTAATACACCCTCCAGAATATTTTCGCGATACACCCTCCAGAATATTTTCGCGGCATTTATTTGATGCCACGGTCGTATAATACAAGCGGAGAGCGACCATCGGCTGTTATGGCGGCCCACACCATTACCATGGCCAGCGCTTGAGTTCTGGTGGCCAACCGAAGGTGCGCAGTTTCAGCTGACCTCTTTGGCAAGTTAACCCGATCATTTCGTTTGTTTACAAACTGCTGGACAACGAATGTTTTCTCATCGGAGAAAACCAAATTCGGCAGTTCACCACTTTCGGCCAAGCCAAGCAAATCTGTAGCTCTTTTGAGTCTATTTTCTTTCTGTTGCGGTGTAAGCTCTTACACTTTTTAGAATTTCAATGACTTTAGTCCGAGCTCATTTTTCAATATTTGCGGAATGGATTATTGCGATTCGTTCAGCTCAAGAGCCATTTTTCGACCACTGCGACGCGGGATTCGATCAAGTCGCTTCTTTACTTTTAGAACATTTTTTGCTGATGTTGCTGTTTTCTTCCGCTCACTTCCTTGACGTCGGGCTACGCTGTCAGTATCACGGTAACGAGCGATGGTACGAGACACAAAAGATTTATTCGATTTATTTCCAGCCAAATATAAAGAAATCACACTATCGCGCTTGAATTCCATCACGATTAACTTTTTTTCTGGAAAATTCTCACCAAAATGCTTTTGTACGCTTGTAAATAATATAATGATCTGTCGCTAGAATAATTTTAACAGCTGTCGGACAAGTGACTTAGAAATGACCGCAGTCTGAAGTTGATTGCAGTTTTTTCATTTCACCCTGTTTATGGGAGCTATATCTATATCTGAACCGATTTTCACAAAATTTAACATAATCGCTTATAGGCTTAATTTGGTCGGATGTTCGGAAATACATTGGTAGCTGTATTGAAATCTGAAATTTCTGGACTATATTTAATATCATTTCCCGAATATCGTTGTTATGGAGCTCATAGTGTGGGATGGAGGACAAAAACAATAAATCGGATAAACAATATATATGGGAGCTATAGCTAAATCTGAACCCATTTTTATCCGAATTGGCACACCTTCTTCCAGGCTGAATTTGGTCGCATGCACCAAATTCCATACCATTTGCATGAATATTACCAATTTTGTGCACAATAAAAAACAAATCGGACGAAGATATATAGGAACTTTATATAAATTTCGGCGATTATCTTCAATTTTAATAGAGTTCGTCCTTGGGTCAAAGAAATGATTTCTGGAAAATTTCATCGCGATGGGACAATAAATGCGATATCCGCTTATAAAAAATTGTATTTCACATTTTATGTACTGTACACACAAAACATACTCTAGATCTCCTTCCATTATTACCACAACTATTAGCCCCTAATATAATTTAATAAATATTCAAATTTCTCTACTAATAACATTGAAACACTGAGCGTTTGCTGAAACTTATGCCAGAGTACCCATTTCCATTTAAATATTTGCCGTGACAATTGTCATGTTTCTCATGTTATCCAAACGGAATACAGCGTTAAGCTGCCCTCTGGTGCCCTGTACTATTTCCCTTTCCCCAATGTCCATACTCTCGCCCCATCTCTCTCCCTCTTACTCTCGCTCAGCGCAAACGATGAGTAAAATTCATATGAATATTCATAAGATAATATGATAAACCACATCTTTGCTTTGGGCATTTTTTCGGTGCATTTGCAGAGAGAATCATAAAAAACAAAAACAAAGAACTTTCCTGTCAGTTGAGAAACACAAGGATGCTGGGCAAAGTTGCCAGAGAAAAAAAAAACATCAGCCAAACTGAAAATCAAGTTATAACTTCCCTACGACAACGAGAATGGACGAAGTGCTATTAACAGAAAAAACTAACGGATTTGGGAAACTGGACTGGACATTTAGCAGCAGTAACTGAGTTCCGCCAAAACACAGACACACTCACAAACGGAGGAGCTATATATAAATATGTTTTTTTGCTTTCATCAGCTTCTTTTTTTGGTGGGGTTTACTTAAAAACACCCACAAACTATTAAATTCCGTATAACCTCCTCCTACCCCTTGCTCTTCCACAGACTCTTTAATATTTTTTTTTAGTAGCTACCCAAAAAACATCAACAACAGCAACAACTAAAGAAAACACCAACAACAACGATGACTACTGCAACCATAATGACTATGTCGAGTGGGATTCCCTGACGGTAGCTGCAAATTGTGGGCCTTGGTATTGCTGGTGACCACACCACGGCGCCCAGTAGCATAAAGCGAAACTTAACAAAGCGTAGCGTGGCAAATAATAAAAATGTTATTTAAACACGTAATTTATGTATATCTGTGTGCCACAGTCATTGAGTGTGCTCACTGGCTGGCTGGATGTTTGTCTGTCTGTTGATGCTATTGCTACTGCTGATTTTGCTTTTGTATGGAATGCGAAAAGTTGTTGAATTATTATTTTTAAAATTGCGCGAAAATACTCTGGGCACAATGGGGGTAAATGTCATAAAAATGAGGAAGAAAATTTCAAAAAATTAATTTTAAATAGAAATAAATGTAAAAACTCTCAGATTTTTTTATTTCCTATCTCTGCAGAAGTAGTTCATGTTACCCTGGTACCAAGTTATTTGATCCGAAATTCTAGATGCATAAGGTACAAATGTTATACATAATATCTTCAATCGCTTTAGTAGATACGAATCTACACAAAGGAATGAATGAATTTTATAAAAAAATAATTTGTAGATACGTGGATTTTATAAATAAAATATTGTTTCAAAGGTGAATTTATAAAAAAAATATTTTTTAGAGACGTGGATTTAAAAAAATATTTTTAGAGACGTGGATTTTATAAAAAAAATATTTTTGGAGACATGGATTTTATAAAAAATATTTTTAGAGACGTGGATTTTATAAAAAAAAAAATATTTTTAAGGACATGGATTTTATAAAAACAAAATATTTTTAGAGATGTGGATTTTATAAAAAAAATTTTTTTAGAGGCGTGGATTTTATAAAAAAATATTTTTTAGAGACGTGGATTTTATAAAAAATATTTTTTATAAAAAATATTTTATTTAAAAATATTTTTTTTATTAAAAATATTTTTTTTTATTTTATACGAAATGTGGATTTTATTAAAAAAAAAATATTTTTAGAGACGTGGATTTTATTAAAAATATTTTTATTAAAAATATTTTTTTAGAGACGTAGATTTCGTAAAAAATATTTTTTTGTGACGTAAATTTTTTAAAAAATATTTTTAGAGACGTGGATCTTATAAAAAATATTTTTAATGACGTGGATTTAATAAAAAATATTTTTAATGAGGTGGATTTAATAAAAAATATTTTTAATGACGTGGATTTAATAAAAAATTTTTAATGACGTGGATTTAATAAAAAATATTTTTTAGAGAGGTAAATTGTATATTTTTAGAAATGTTGATTTTATAAAAAATGTTTTTTAGAGACGTAAATTTATTTTTTTAAAACGTGGATTTTATAAAAAATATTTTTTAAAACGTGGATTTTATAAAAAATATTTTTTAAAACGTGGATTTTATAAAAAATATTTTTTAAAATGTGGATTTTATAAAAAATATTTTTTAAAACGTGGATTTGATAAAAAATATTTTTTAAAACGTGGATTTTATAAAAAATATTTTTTAAAACGTGGATTTTATAAAAAATATTTTTTAAAACGTGGATTTTATAAAATATATTTTTTAAAGCGTGGATTTTATAATTTTTTTTTTTTTTTAAAGACGTAAATTTTATAAACAAATACGAAATGTGGATTTTATTAAAATAAAATATTTTTAGAGACGTGGATTTTATAAAAAATATTTTTTAACGTAGACTTTCAAATAAAAAAGAAACGCGGATTTTTTAAAAACCTTAAAAATTTATTTTATATTTAATTTATATTATTATATTATTTTACTTTAATTTTTTATATTTATTATTTTCAACAATTTTTTTATTTTTTTAATATTCTTGCAGCCATTTTTGAATTTTTTTCAAATATTCCTACAACCATTTTTCAATTTTCTTCATATATTGTTGCAACCATTTTTTATATATTCCACCAACATGCATTTGGATTTAATAAAAATATTCATTAATTACGATCAAATTTATTTTTAGTTTACACAATTAAATTTTCTAAATTTTCGTCTATTTTAGAAAAATAAAAAATTAATTTTCAAAACAAAAAAACCTTCTTCATCAACATCTCCCCCATTGTGTGGTATATGCTATCAGGTTGATAGCGAGAACTCTCTCCCTCTCTCTACATATATTTTTTGTTGGTTTAATTCTCATCTCTTAAACCTCAACACCCAACATCCGCATTATAATATTTTATTCATGCCATACTACCAGTGGAACAATATGGGTTAATAGTTGTGGCTTAAATAGGGTTGGACACACAACGCAAAACATTGGCTTGTCCCACTCGGGCGCACAAACGCCATACTTATAAATCCATTCTTATTGCGATGCAATAAATTGGTAGGAAGGGTGATTATTATGAGAAAGGTCATTGTTTTTAAAAAGGTGCTGCCATTCAGCCTTTGGATTCCATAGGGGAATGAAGTTTCCTTCATTAAATACATGGGAACATAGGAGATCTATTCCATTTAAGGATCTCTCGAAGAACTCAAAACAGTCTTCAGTATTTAGGAACCTTGAAGGAGCTCTTTCTAGGATACAGTGTGATATATTTCAGAACATGGGAGATCTATTCAATTTAAGGGAGCTCTCGAAGAACTCGAAACGGTATCTAAGAACCCTCGAGAAGCTCTTCCTAGAATATAGGGAGATACATTCCAGAACATGAACCAGCATTGTTAATTTTTGGCAAGGATGTGTTCTATTTATTAAGATATCTGAATTCAAAGTCACTTCTGGCGGTTAAGTGGGAACTTGGAGCGATTTGGAAGATTTTCGCTAGTCCAATTTTAAGCTTCAAAATACTGAAAATGTTGAGGTAGCACCAGTTGAGAACTACACAGAAAGTAAACAAATATTTGACAATATTCACATGGAAATTCGGTGATTAAGTAGAAGCGATTTGGTAGAGCTATTTCAGTAACTAAGAACCCTCTAAAATCTCTTCCAAGATTTATATTGGGACCTATTGGAGATCATGGAATTGCATTGGGTATTTTAAAATATCAATTTTCAGCCACATTCGGATTTTCAAGTTGCTGAGGCTTCCTCAAATGGTAAATATTTTATTTAATCTTTTGAAGTAAGTTATTTGACCTCTAAGAATCTGATACATTAGATTACAGCTAATGAAAAATGGAAATTTTGTATGTGGGTATATATGGGGGATATACACTGAAGTTGCGAAAATGTCGAATCCGATTTGACTAAAACCGTTACAGCAGTCCCCAATCTTCGGAAAATCGGGTTGTATTTCTGATAGAAATAGCACTTTATACCCTCAGCCTTATGACTGTTTTAAGATTAAACGGTCGAAATGTGTCTCATTAAAATAATGACTTAAAAGCTTAACGGGGTACCTTATTTCTTCCAAATTTGGTATTTCATAATATTTCTATGAAACTTGCATTGATTCAAGAGATTAATGGACAGGCTGGCAGACATTGTTAAATCGACTTAGAGATTATCCTGATCAAAAATATATACATTCAATGGGCTTCTATTATTACGAATAATTCCATAATTTCTGCACAAATATAAAATTGGGCTGAAATTTTATGTTTTGGATTCAGAACGAGTAAAAGTTTAACTCGCGTTTCGGAAGTCAATTTGATCCAGTGGAAATTGATACAGCTTATTAAAAAATGGCATTTTACTGTAGAGAAGAGCATTTAGAAAGGGTATAATTGAAGAGAAGACCGTCTAGTAGATTTCTGCAGAAGAAATTCGTAAGAAGAGTTTTTATAAGAGCTTTGACAGGTTTACTGGAAAAAAAGACCTAGTCATGTTTAAAAATTGTTTTTCCGCTTTTCCAGATAAATTACTGGCTTCCTTTATGAGAAGCTCATTTAGAAAGTCCTATGTCGGAAAAATTGCAGTTCAGAAGAAAACCTTTCATGGAGACAATATTTATTACAAGATGCTTTTTAGAGGACTTTATAATATTGCAGATTTTTTGGAGCTTTTCTCTGTAGATCTGTGATTTTACAGGCTTTTCTTGAAAAGTAGTCCTTAAGCAGAATTTCTATGGAAAAAGCAATGTTTATCGATACAGCCAAGAAAGATTTTCGATAGAAAATGTTAGTGAGGAGGCCAGTGAGTGTTTGGTAAATAAATAAATATAACTTTTATTAAACAAATTGTTCAGAACATGTAAAAATGAGCAATTCCAATAGATACCGGGCCCCAAAGCCTCATTGGTTTCGCCGGTAGTGCCTTTCACATACCATCATTGAAAAGTGGACCTTTACTGGCATTGTTTGGAAAGTAGTTCTGTTAAGGATTTTTCTACAGCTCTTCTTCCGAAAATAGAACTTTTACTTGCTTTCCTTGAAAATTTTACCTTTTTCCAAGTTGAAAATGTTCACGTCTTTGTTAGGACTCTGAAAAAACTTGCTTTTCATACATCGTAGCTATAACAAACTGTGACGAAAGACGGCTTTTCTCCCTATCTTCAATTAAAAATTCTCACTAATTATTAAAAATTAAATTAAAAATTCTCACTCTAAATTAAAGTCTCCTTTGGCAGAAATAGGCAACACCTTCGAACTCCTTAAACGCCATTTACTTCAAAAAATCCTGTCAGCCATATAAATCTAATTTTACATATTCTTTGTGTATTGTAACTTACCACTGCTGGCACTTGTCCTGGTATAACCGGCTGTCCTGGCGCAATACCCATTTGTTGCATTAAAGCATTTTTCAAGGCAAGATGATTACGGCCATTTATCAATAATTGATCCTTCAAATGTTGTGGAGGATGAAAATATTTGCAAGGCGGTTTATCACGATTACAACGACCCTGTAATAGAAAGAAAAGGAGAACAATACATTAATATCGCTACACACATAGTTAATGATGTATGTATGAGTATGGGTGTGTGTCTGTGTGTAAAAGCTATAAAATGTATAAAAACAAAGGAGCCAAATGATATAAAACAAAGGCGAAACGACAGCATAAAATATGTTTGCTTCGCTAAGGAACCTAAGACTATCAATAAATTATCAGGAGTAGCTGCTGCTCCCTCTCAAAGGATGTTCTTCTTTTTTTAGGTGGGGAGTTCGAAAGAAAACTTGCAAAGAATTTGTAGTCAGCCAAACTTGCTGCGAGATAATATTTCTTAAGTTTGCTGGTAAATTTCTTTGCTACAAAATTCACAGGAAGAGAGAGAGAGAGAGCATTAAGAAAGAAAGAGGGGCGAAAATAAAGAAAATCAAATAAATATTATCCTTAAATAAGTTTGGTAAACGAAATGAAAACAAAAGATGCCAGCCAACAAACAACATCATTGACAAAGAACCCTGGAACAAGGATTGGTTGTTCTTTTTTTCTCACTCTCACAAAAGTCCTGTTGTCCTGGCTGCTTTCCTACTTATTGTTGCAAACGACAACAATACACAAGACATGCCATGAATATGTGATAATTCTTGAGCCATCACCAAGGACTTTTCCAGCTCTGAACAATTTATCCTTGGCGGGGACAACAAATGCGTGAAAGTACCAATATTATTTGGGTGTTGGTGCTTCCCTCTTCGTTGCGAATTCACTCGATGCCTTTTGGATTTTAGTTTAGTTTTTCCGTTTTTTTGGGGGAATTTACTGCTTAAATTACATTCCCCTTTCTTTCTTTTTATGTCTCTCTCTCTCTCCAGCTCTACATAAGGATTCATGTATGTGTTTTTATTATTGTTAATGCAAAGAAACATATTTCCACCAAAACTCTACTAAAACTTGTAAGAAGGATGTACGTATCTCCATGTGTGTGTGAGTCTGAGTATGTGTGTGTGTTAAACTTGCCCCCAAGATTTCATTGTTGTTATCCATGGCCCCTTGAAAACATTTCCGTTTTGTTTTGTAACATAATTTAATGGGAGTATATGTCTGTTGCTGTTGTTATTCATTTGTGTTTTTGTTGTGTTGGTGAGACAAAGAAAACACACACAAACAGAGAAAAAACCGAAAGCAGTTATCCTTTGAGCTTTAAGCACATAAATTATCACTTAATAAATTACATTAGTAAGGCGAAATAAACATTCATATCCGGCAACATTAATGCCACAGACTACCGACAATGAGCGGCAACTAAATGTTAGTTGGTGTTGTTATTGTTGGCCTCTCTGGCTGTTGCTGAGATCAGCTCTTCATCAACACTTCCTACCGATGTTAGTGTTGGTAACATTAAATTATATTAACACAGACACAAACACACACAGAGACAGACAGACGTATCTAACACCACGTGCAATGGCAACAAATATGTGAGTGTAACAATACTTAAGAATCCATGGGCCTGCACAATGGACCGGGGTGTGTGTGTGTGTACATGAGACATGTATGTAAGCATATATGTGTGTATTTGTGTTCTAATGTTGTAAACTTTGCAAAAAAAAAGAGAAGAATGTGAAATATGTCTAGGTACATTTACGTTTATTTTCGTATGTGATAAGAATTTTTATGAGACATAAAATAGATGTTGTTTTTTTCCACTCGTCTCATTGTCGGAAACAGTGGAACTATGCTTAAAATGCAATATTTACTTTAGAAAATCCAGTTATTGATAATATTTTTTCACAGAGATATTTGATATCATGTTATCGACAATAGAAAATCATGCAATCAATATTTTTTAAGAAACAAAAAAAAAAAAAATAGAAAATCGTGTCGATAAAAAGATTTCTTATAGAAAATCGAGGCGATAACTAGATTTTTAAAGAAAATATTGTCGATAACAAGATTTTCCATAGAAAATCATTTCGATAACAAGATTTTCCATAGAAAATCATGTCGATAACAAGACATGGACATGGAAAATCATTTGATAACAAGATTTTCCATAGAAAATCGTGTCGACAATAAGATTTCGGGTCGATAACTAGATTTACTCAAGAACATATTTTCGATAACAAGATTTTCTATAAAAATTATCGTCGATAACAAGATTTTCTATAAAAATTATCGTCGATAACAAGATTTTCTATAGAAATTATTGTCGATAACAAGATTTTCTATAGAAATTATTGTCGATAACAAGATTTTCTATAGAAATTATTGTCGATAACAAGATTTTCTATAGAAATTATTGTCGATAACAAGATTTTCTATAGAAATTGTTGTCGATAACAAGATTTTCTATAGAAATTATTGTCGATAACAAGATTTTCTATAGAAATTATTGTCGATAACAAGATTTTCTATAGAAATTATTCTCGATAACAAAATTTTCTATAGAAATTATTCTCGATAACAATTTTCCTGTAGAAAACATTGTCGATGACAAGATTTTCTATAGAAATTATTGTCGATAACAAGATTTTCTATAGAAATTATTGTCGATAACAAGATTTTCTATAGAAATTATTGTCGATAACAAGATTTTCTATAGAAATTATTGTCGATAACAAGATTTTCTATAGAAATTATTGTCGATAACAAGATTTTCTATAGAAATTATTGTCGATAACAAGATTTTCTATAGAAATTATTGTCGATAACAAGATTTTCTATAGAAATTATTGTCGATAACAAGATTTTCTATAGAAGTTATTGTCGATAACAAGATTTTCTATAGAAATTATTGTCGATAACAAGATTTTCTATAGAAAATAGTATCGATAACAAGATTATCTACAGAAAATATTCTCGATAACAAGATTTTCAATAGAAAATATTGTCGATAATAAGATTTTCCATAGAAAATATTGTCGATAATAAGATTTTCCATAGAAAATATTGTCGATAATAAGATTTTCCATAGAAAATATTGTCGAACACAAGATTTTCTATAGAAAACGTATTCGATAACAAGATTTTCTATTAAAAATATTCTCAATAATAAGATTTTCCATACAAAATATTGTCGATAACAAACTTTTCTATAGAAAATATTGTCAATAACACGATTTTCTTAAGTAAATATTGTCGATAACTGGATTTTCTTAAGAAAATATTCTCGATAACAGGATTTTCTTAAGACAATATTCTCGACAACAAGATTTTCTGCAGAATATCGTCTCGACACAATATGTTCTATAGAAAATATTCTCGATAACAAGATTTTCTATAGAAAATATTGTCGAATACATGATTTCTATAGAAAATGCTGTCGATTGCAGGATTTTCTGTAGAAAATGTTATAGATTACAGGGCTTTCTATAGAAAACAGTCTCGATAACAGGATTTTTTATAAAAAAAATTGTCGATAACAGGATTTTTCTATAGAAAATATTTTCGATAACAGGATTTTCTATAGAAAATATTGTCGATTTTTATAGAAAATATATATATTTTCTATTAAAATTTTTGCTATGGCCAATATTTTCTGTGGAAAATTTTGCTTTTGACAGTATTTTTTTATGGAAATCCTCTTTTCAATATTATTATCTAAAGAAAATCTTGCTATCGGTAATATTTTCTGTAGAAAATCTTACTATCAACAGTTTTTTATAATCAACTATATTTTTTTACAAAATAAGGACTGTCGCTTTTGGTTATCGATTACATGCCTCATTGAAAAAAAAAAAAAACATATTTATCGTTATCTCTCCCCATACCCTTTATATTCCTTCCATTCCTTCGTCTCATTGACCATTCAGTACTAGTATCATCTCCTTCAAACTAGCCATTTCACAATGACACATGTGAACTCTGCTGCTGGCTTGTAGGTGTCATTCAAATGCCACGACACAACACATTTGCATGGCGTTCAATTGCTGGACAATATAATCTAACTGTTCTGTCTACTCAACGGCAGAGCAACAACAGGACAATATCATTCTAACAACATCAGCTATAAATGACAACAACATGAAATGCCATGGCAATGGATGTAGCCATCCAACTAAGCTAAGAGAATGGAGAGAGAAAAACGCATCTAATACAACATTTTGCTTTTTGCCCACCCCACTCCCTCCATTTCGGGAACTTTTCCAATGGCTAAGCATTTTGTTGGTGACTAAGTTGTTTGAATATTTTTCAAACTTAAAGATTATCCTTTTAAAATTACAATGATTATGTTTTATGTTTTTTTTCGTATTTTATAAATATAAACGAAGTATATCTTGTTGTCTGCCCGGGAAAAAAGTCACACAAAGCTGCTCGCAAAAAAACACGATGTTGGAGAAACAAAATGTACAGACATTTAGCTGGAGGGGAGATTGAGTAGTTTATAAGCCAGACATTTAAACCAAGAGTCAGTTGAGAAAAAAAAAAAAAAAACAAAATAAATTTGATCATGTCCAACCAGACAACAGCAACTGCAGCACCAACCACTCAAGCTCTCCAACTCCAGGCGGGGCATTATCTATGGAAAAATGGCGTAAAGTCAAAAAAATAAAAAGAAGTTGCCTCTGTTCCATTTCGTTTGGCATTATTATTCAACTAATGTCAGTCAATTTTAAAGTTAGTTCTTTTTTGTACTTCAAGTTTATTTGGCGTTTTTGGGATCTACTTGCCCTGGCATTGTTGTGGCGCGTTGTGCTGGAATCATTCCTTTATATTAGATTTTTTTCGGTTTGCCCTGTCTCTGTTGGCCTTGTTCTCTAAACTTTGTTAACACCCACATATTTTACAATAAGACGAACGATGAAAAACTACTTCTTCACACGAAAGCTGGAAAAAAATGCAAACAATGTGGATTTCAAAGTCCAAGGCATGAAAGGCACTCCAAAATAGGAGTGTGGAAGAAATGCCACGGAAATGTGAAGGGGAAGGGGATTATAATAAATTCTAACAAATTACAATTAAATCGAGTGAATTATTTACCAAAAATGTAGACAAAACTCTTAACAAATTGGGTGATTTCA